AATTATGATATCAAATGTATATAACAATGAAATGACCTACACGTGTAAATAACGGAAAAAGAACAGAGAAGGACCGCGAAGTGAAAATGTGAAAATAAATAAGAAATTGAGTTGATAACATAATCGAACAAGTCGAGGCAGCTTATTGGCACGAAATTCGCGGCCGTCAATGCCAAACAATTGTTGTCATAGACTTCGGAAAGCTAAATGCTTGTAATGAAAGTCACTTAGCGTGCACGGGCGAAAGCCTGGGGCCGTTCGGGCTATCGAGCTGTCTCGAATCTGTGAAATCATAACTGTGACTATCTGTCTCTTTTCTCCGTTATCACCAGGCTGTCACGTAATTGTAAAATGAGAACTCTACGACGGAAAAGTGACGAAAGTATCGTGAGCGGGGTATTATGATGTATGCACAGGCATACGTGGACTAGAGCAATAGAGGAAAGAGAAAGGGAAGAGCAAAGACGAGCGCTAAAAAAGAAGGATAGGCAGGGTCAGACCCTCGGATGTCCGAGGATTCTCGAACGATAAACGTGTACGTGAGTTGATCTTTGTAATTATAAATTGTGAATACATGTGACTAATATTATTTTCATTTTTATTTTGCGCATGTTACAAGTTATAAATAAATATAAACAAACAACACTAACTCGATAACATTAAATCTAAATAACAAAATGATTAATTTACTGTGTTTTTGTTAGTTATTACTCCTGCTTTTAGGTATTCGGTATTCGGCCGAATAGTGATTAAATAATCGGTATTCGGCCGAATAGTGAAAAATAGGCCGAATAGGTCGAATACCGAATAGTAACCGAATATTCGTTACATCACTAGTACTAGGTCTATTATAAATTCCGTTGTGAAAAAAGTAGTAATGTTTCTATCAGCCCTAAAAAAACTAGTTGAAAACTCAGATTGACAGCCACACCCACGATTAGATTCACGATTCATTCTCCTTAATAGTGAGTGATATGACAGAATTAAGCTTGGCTGGTCAAAAGCTATTGCTGAAACTTTCGAGCGACAAGACACTAACAGTAACGTTTCACAAAACTCCACTTTCGGAAGCAAGTATAAAGAAATTAGAAAAGGGCTCTAGAAGTTTTCCTTCAATTTCCAACGAGCTAGCTGTGTGAAGTTGGATTTTCGGCAATGGCTGCAGTTAAAACGAAGTACAGAAATCGTCTTAATGTGGAGAATGACCTGCGTATGGAACGGACACAGTTATAACTAAACATCGAAGTTTGTGCAGTTCAAAACAAGCCCAAGTTTCACATTAGCGTTTACAGTTTGTGAAAATATGATTTTTTAAAATTTACATTATTTTAACTTTATTTAGAGGGAATAAACTCCTGGTTGAACACTATGTACAGAAATAAAACACTTTATTTGTGCAAAGTGCTGAAGGAAGGTATATTTGTAGTGCAATTGTATTTTTGCTTCGTATTTTCAATTACACCTTACCGGAATCATATAGTTTGTAATGAAAGGAACTAATACTGATTATATAGCATTGAATACGTGTACGTATGCTGGAGGAAGATACCATTGCACGCTAGCCCCGATTGGGGAGGAATACTGTAGAAAGAATGGGAACCGTTGATCTAGATGGCATTAAATAGGGTACTTTATATATGATCATCTAGTATTAAGTTAACACTTTATTCATTTTACAATATTGGGATTAAAAAATATTTGAATCTCATTTTTTGTGTATTAATTGTTATAATAGGGAAACGTTTGTTGTTTCTTATTTTCTAATTCTGTTCATTTTTATTTCTTAAATCGTAATATATTGGTATTTTATGAAACTGCCCCTTCAACCAGCCTACCAATGGGTGAACTGGATATTGGCATTGCATTAATTTCATACGAAGCCTAACAAGAAGATGCGAAATGTAAGAAATGTAAGTATCTAAATGTAAGAAATTACACACCATTGCCGAAAATTTGTTGCTTTCGTAAGCTGTAGAAATGTGTTGCATTATGAATGGAGAGGTAGTTGCAAAGATATTACCAACTATTTCACTGTTAAATAATACAGCTTCACAGTTAATCGGTGACTGTGGATCAGAAAACGTAGCTAGTTCAACAAGTAAAAATCAAATGTTTGCATTGCAACTCAATCAATCGATATTTAATCACAGCTCAGCTTAATTTTTACGCGAGATGTGCAGTATAAGAGAAGAGTTTTTGTTTTGTAAAATGATCCCAACAACAAGTGAAGACATATTTACTAAACGTAACGAATTTATCTGTGTTAAAGGCTTGACTTTGACTAATTGTTTAGGTTTATGCACTGAGGGCTCAGTAGCTATGGCAGGAAACGATAGTGACCTTGTAATTCGAATGAAAGTTGTAGCTACCGCAGTAAAATGGACAGCAGTGTGATACATGGCGAAGCTTTGGCTGCAAAAAAAAGAGAGAAAAAAAATGTAGCCAAACTTTCACAGTGTTCTTACGGATACTGTTAAGATAGTTAATTACTCCAATCTCGGCCAATGCAGAATCGTTGCTTTACTGAACTTTGTGAAGAAATGAGATCTGAACATAAGCATCTGTTTTACTTTCCCAGCTGTTCTGTATACAAGAAAGGAAAGTATGGAAATCGTGTCAAATTTTACTTTTCTAGTTTTTTGCAAATCTCTGTGTTTGAAAATCCTGAACCTAAAAAAAATAAAAAATAGAAAAAAAAGGAAAAATTCCGTGGATACTAGCGTGTTGGCGTCTATTTCGTTTAATATCTCAGGATTAGTGATGATGAAATAACAAAATTTGGCGTGGTAGCTTGTATATAAGGGACCTTGATTTTGGTGGAAAGGTCGAGGAGATGAGGAGGTAAAGAGCATCATATATCATATATCTCGAGAAGAATCGGACTTGATGAAGATATTATTCGTTATTAGCATTTACAATTTTTTTTTTATGAAACTCATCACTACTCTCAAAATGAAGTCTTTTGCGATTTTATAATAATTAAAAATAAAGTATGANGGTTAATAAGTTATAAAATTAAATTTGTAGAAAAGATTAATTGGCCAGTTTTCATATAAGAATATTAAATTACATCATTTTGAATTTGAATCACGTGTATAAAATGAATACATTTCAAAATATTAAAAGACAAACATGTTTTAATATCCTTTTTAATGAAATATAAGATATTCGTAATTTGTAATAAATACAATACTGATATATCGTAGATATGATATACTGTATGGCCAGATATACAAGCGGTCACAGTATATTTCATTTATCTGCTAAAACGAAGAAAAAATCATACAGCTTGTAACATTCTTGTATATTCGTCTTTAAATTTTAATTGTGTATACAAGACATAAAAGAAAAAAAAACTATATAAAACACCAACATATTTTTCTTTTTTAATAAGTTAACAGGACATGATTAATATTCAAAAAATTCGATTATTTACAAAAAGGAAAACTTTACAAAGTAATCTATCTTCGTAACATTGATAAAGGGACCTTATGGAAAAGTGACAATAGCAAAGTCCCCATATGAAAAAGAGCCGTTACACCATTTGTTTGTAATTGGAACAATCGAAAGATAATTTATTGATAGAAGAAATTACAATCAGCCAACTTATGTGTTTTTGATTTGTTTGCATTTGTTAAAATTGTCTTTCTCTTGCTGATTACAACATAATGATAATTATTTAACGTTTGGCTCACCACCACGTGAAAACTAAAGCAAAAGCTACATAGCTCTCAAGATTAATTATTGGTTTTTTTATTTTCCTTACAAAAACACACAAAACATTTAACAATTTTGTGCTTCTTCGGCATAAATAATAACAAATTGTTAATGTTGAGAGCTAAGTTCTTTAAACCTCATCGCGTCATACGACACGAAAATCTGCGAGACTGTAATAGTTAAGAAACTAAATGATTACCAAAATTATAATGTATCTAAATTAACTAAATAAATTATAACGTTTCAACAAACATAAATACAAATCTTTCGTATAAACAAACATTTTTATATTATACTTATATATATTTTTCTTTTATTGAAATTGTTGAGTAAAGACAATCATTATTGATATACATGCATTGAACCAACCATCGATCATGAATGAAGCGGGACAAGAAGATATATATTTGTCAATAGGGATATAAACATACATATAGAACAACGTTATTTTTATTTTTTTGAAGTTTAAAGGTGAAACATTTCTCAATAAATTTTTCTTTTCAAAATTGAAATCGTGTACGGAATAAAATAACCGAGAAAAAAATTTTTTTTTTTCTTATATTTGCTTAAGTTTTTTGAAATTGCAATATCTTTATGTGGTTTTAATTCATTTATGTTAATACTTTTATATAATATTTTGGGGTTCGCGCAATCGTCACTAGATGGAAGTAGGTACTTTGTACAGATCAATACCGTGTATTTTTAAATACTTGTTTATTCATTCGAAAGATAACGTTATATATTATTGCACATTTTAGATTTTGAAGTCATCTTAATATATTTTAATATATCTGGAAATATATTTAATTCTCAGTCAAATAGGCCACATAAGGATATGCTTCTTTCTAAATTTGCTATCACAGTGAGCTATTAAGTACATTATCCAATCTTTTTATTCAGTTTTTAACCATAACATTTAATTATCATTTAACCATAATTTTAACCATAACAATTAATTACCATTTAACCATAATTCATTTTTTAATTATCAAGAAACTTATTAATATTAATTTTCAATTGTAAAATGCCTGATGCATTGTTAATTGTTTTGAACTTAATCAATCCATTGACATTGAAAACATATCTTTTATTTTATATCTATTTTATATATGAAATTTTAAACTCGTTTTTTAATTTATAATTTAAAATTAATCAAAACGTGTACAAATAGTAATTAAATCTATTTTTTAAAAATTATTTTTAAATAAATAATGATTAAATAGGTAATAGTTGATACCATTTTTAATCTGCTTATAAAAACATAAAATTTGTAATGCATTAGTATCAATAACAAGTTGATCAAGTTCAAATTTATTTTTAGATTTTATCTATCCATCTCCATCTTCTAAAATCTATATAGACTGTAACTAAAATATTAACTTTTCAATTTTGTTTTCTTAGAAAATTTATAAATTTTAAAAATTTCTTTTTACTACTGTATCAATGCCAATGGATCAATGATTTATTTTTTAAAAAATTTCATCTTATTCAAGAAATATTTATATTATAATCAGGAAAAAATATTCTCAGACATTATAAATGACTGGAAAGGAGTTAACTTTCTGAGGAGAGACTAACTAATACTGTTCTATAGCACCAATTTCAGTGTTGATTTGTTCGTTTGTATTGAAAGCTCAATTTACACACCACAGATAATATGTACAGTATGTAAAACTTAAATCTCTAAATATACTAAATTTTGACTATATATATATATATATGTATATATATTATTTTAAAATCATAATTTATATTTATAATCTTGTAATTGAAACGGGCAGATATAAAGAGCAATTCTACAATAATAATTTGTTTATTAGTAAAATTTGTGATTCTAAAAAGAAAGTAGAAAAGGATCTGTTATGAATTATTTAGAAAAGCACTGTCCAAGATTCTTGTGGAAAAATTCTTAAGTTAATACAGTTGCTTTTTAATGCTAGTTTGAAGATAAGGAATTATACGCTTTATTTATTTTTAATTATAGTATATGAATATAGATGAGGTATTTAGATGATAATATTACATATTAAAGGAACGATCAAATAATTCATTTTTATAATTTGAAGAAATTTAAAAAAAATTACATGTGCTAAAAATATTTTTTTTTAGTTTTTGATTTGCAATATTTCAAATTAAAATATTTTGACTAGAAATGAATACCAAAAATAGTTATAATAGTTTGAGCAAATATATGAGAAACTATGAAATTGGCAATTGAAAGAACACCTTTATGAAAGCAAATAAAAATCTGTTCCTTGGTCCGCATGAAAGACGTAATCATTGACTTCTTGAATTTCCTCATATATGACGAGTGATTTTTAAATATTGTACAGTTTATTGATATTGATGGGATAATCAATGGCTTAAACGTTATCACCCAAATTATCTAGCATTATTCGATGTGTAAGATGACTATCAGCTTGACGAGAAGTGAAACTGAATTGAACACCGAAATCTATGTACAGAACTGATATGCAAAGTAGAAAGAAAGAACAAATATGTTAGAAATGAACAAATGCACTCAGATCACGTACTGTTTTCTGGGCTTGAGTACAAGATGTTTTTGTTTATTTGGACGAATCCATAAAGTCGGTTTCTTTGAGTCATTTGCTTATCGCTGTATATATCCTAAAAGGAATATACAGTATACAATTAAACACTTAAATACATTTAAAAACACGGATATCAATAATGGTTATCCTATTATATATTTTCAAATGGACAAACCTGAATAATAATAATTCATCTAAGATTTTTTGAAAAAGAAAGAAGGAAATTTCGATTTTCTTGTTGGAGGTGGAGCCATCAGCATCGGCATCTGGTTATTGTTTGTTATATGGATCTAGAAAGATAATATCATTAAGAAGACAATTAAGTTTTTTATGTCAAAATAAGTAATTTAGAAAAATCTTTAATAGAAAATAATTCAGACAATAAAAATAGAGAAAAAATAATTTTTCATACTGTGCAAGCAGGCTGCATCCATGGCTCACCATCTATTTGCATTGGAAATCTTTTTTTCGTCCTTAAAATAATTTTTTATTTAAAAATTTGCAAATAACTATACTTTAACACATATACTATTTCTTACCTAATAACTACAGAAGAACATTGGGCTAGACGACGACCCGATGCCCTTAAACCAGCTTTTACTTGACCCACATGCATACAGTTTTCTAATCCAATCACCTCTATAAGCTTATCTCCTATGTCTACATATATGAAATAAAGTTTTAGATAAATTATTTAATTTTCTATATACATGTGTGGTCATACCTTGTACAGCTGCACTCAAGTCTACAGTATTATATCTGTTGTTTGAACTATTTCTATCCTTCTTTTTCCTTTTAGATTTCGATCTTTTTCTGTGACTCGCACTGTCACCCCATAGATTGGAACCACCGTAAATACTTGGAATGTTTAGAACAGCAATCCCTTGCAAAGAAGGTCCATTACCTAAGTCTAATGAAACTCCGTCGCACTATATCAGAAAACGTAAATGAAAATAATTTTCAATCATATTTTGTAAGACATAAATCAGTTTTAGAAGATAGAATGTCAATTATCTTTGCGATTGCTCACGCCGATTTATTTTATTACTAATTTATTTAGTTTAAATTAAAAGAAGATTTCATCATTTGTTTATTATCAGTTTTGTTCTTAACAGAAAATAATTAATTTATCTAATATACAGGTAATAAAATTAAATAGGAAAAATCCAAAATAGAAAATTTATAGCATAGAATAAACAAAAATAAATAGAATTCATAAATAAATCCGAAGTAAAATATAGCATAGAAAAGTGCATTTTTTGTTTGTATTCACTCTCAATTTTAATAGAAAACTTGTGAGATTATCAATCATCATCCTGTTGTAAAGAAAAATATTTTGATTTATTACAGAATTAATAGAGAAATATTTATGATGCACTTTAACAATATACTACCGGAATACATCAGAATAAATAATTAAAATTTCTGGTGATATGTCTAATTATATTTCATATATTAAATTGAAAACTAAATATAAAAAAAAATATGACTCATTGAAAAAACATTTATATTTCAACACTTATTGATCTTTAATTATATTTAGGCCTAAATTAGATTCTGGAGAAATATTATTTATAAAATAATAATTATTATTATTAAATATATCAACAAAATTAGCTTAATTTTTTTTATTTAAAAGAATATTTATAGAGAAAAATCGAATTAAAAATTTTAAATTATTTAACCAAAATAATAAAATAAATATTAAAATACCATAAGGTCGACATCTTCGTGTAAATTTTTGCACGTCGCAAAAAATGTTTCTGACGTTGCAAATTCAAAATACCACATTTTATTCTTCATCCTTAAATAAAAATTTTTGAAATATTTTTGTTTAAATGAGTTTTGAAAATATAATTTTAAAATAATTGCGTAAATTTAAATTTTTATCTTTTCAACTGCAATTTTAAAACAATATTGTAAAACATTAATTTAAAAATTTTTTAAAGCATATTAAAATTTCATACAAATAAAAATGGCATAATCTTAATAAAATAAAAAAATTATTTAAAATTATGTTTAAATTTTATATAAACTTACATACAATACTCAAAACATTTGTATATAAATTATAATCGATTTTTACTATCTAAATTATCAAATAGCGATGGTATATATGCTATCTAAGACCATTTTGATGACTTTAGTGCATTATATTTGCCCTTTTCTTTTTCATTCTTGTCTAAGCATATCAAAATATTTACAGTACGTATAGCAAACGTTTTTCTCAATAAATTTGATGTGACATATATCATATTGTTTTCTTATTTTCACAATAAAATAAAAAAAATCTTCACAACTGTTTTATATTTGTATATCTAGTAATTACAAGCATATACATAAATATATTTATTATTTGCTAAGCTTTTACAGATTCTACGATGCTGTTTTAGCATAAATAAATTGTTTTACAGTATAAAAACGTTTAATTATTGAATAAACAGGAAATCATATAAATTACATTTATAACATCAGTTTACCATTATTTACAAACATTATAAAATCAATTATATAAAAGCTACAAAATTCCTGTAAAAGAAATTGCAAGGTTTTACATTAAAATTTCTTACGTTAAATTTGAATTTATTTTTGTCAATAATTTATAATTTTGTTTATTTCTTAAACTCTAATTTTGAGTCGAGGAATACATCAAATCATTGCAGTAACTTTGTAAACTATATAAAATTTAGCAGGAATAATTAATGTAAAAATATATATGATGCGCTGTAACAAATAGTAAAAAGTAAAAACAAAATGTAATTTTTTTTAGATAATTATAACATTTGCATTTTGCATTTAAGATGGTCTTGATGGCTTCGTTCAACTTACATTTTTGCTTTTTTACCAATATATGTATTCATGTATTAACTTTAAGTAAAATTTTTATGTGTTATATAATATATAAGATTTACCCTTAAAAACCCTGTAAATTTTTCAATTGCTTTTCTATAACGATGACATTATAACGGACAAATTATAATCTATCTTTCGTTTAAATTAAAATTATTATTTAAAAACAGTGGATTAAAGTTTTCCAATGACATAATTACGAAACGTAACATCTATATTTTCTCCTGCATAAATATTGAATTTCTATTTTAAATTTCAAAATAGTGATTCAAAATAAATTTACAGTATATTAATTTTGAAAATGAATTTATTTTATGATTATAAGAATTTATTTTAAGAATTTTAGTTTTATATTCAAATTTCTTTTAAAAAATGTCTATAAATTTGAAAATACAGTATATGAAATAATATCAATATTTACGACTGAAAGTCTTATACAGAATCATTAAAAAATAAGTATTGTAAACAAGCATGTATAACTTTATATATAGCAGCATTTAATATTTTAATAAAGGTGTATCTGCATAAAATTTATGAAGCAAGTTGAACAGCTTTTTGGATATTCATCCGACGGATACAGAACAATATCAGCTCGTTCTTTCTCCATGTATTTTCTTGAATTTAATGCCATGCCTTGGATTTCCATGAAGACAACAACCATCTATTGCTTTTTTTGTGATCCAACTTTACAGCTAACTCCTGTGATTAAATTTACATTATTGTACCACTAACAAGCACTTCTCGTTCAATTAAGATAGAAAATCTGTGATTGAGGGATTCCTCAATGTCGGTACCTTGCTCAACGCTTTCGTTTTTGAATGTTTCTTATTATCATTTACGCATTGCAAGCAGACTGTACTGCTTACTTGGCTGTATGTGTGTTTACTGACTAAATTGCAGATGACTTTACTCAGTAGTAAACTCCATGTCACACGTCATAAGCATTCTCCATTAAAAGGTATGATGTCTCAAATAACTGAAACGAATTCTGACCATTTTCTTGATATGTTTTTTTTTACTTTGTGTCAAAAATAAGCAGTTGCCCCAATTTACCGATGGACGTATTAACCGGAATCCACTGTATATTAATGTTATTTTCATTAAATATTTTTTAAAAAGATGATAAAACATCCTTATATTGTAAATCGAAATTTATAGTTGTAGTTTAGCTTTCATTATTTTTTGATAGTCTTTTAGTATTTTATGAATACAAACATTATTGCAACAAAATAAATAAATAATTCATTTTTTGTAAGTATTTTATGTAGAAAATAAAATAAACAAATTTTTAATTCCGTAACAGAAAAAAAGTAACATATTCTATTCTAAAAATATAATTTTGAAATGATTGTAATACACATAAAATAATTTTCCATAAATTTGAACTTATTTCTAAAACATGTTAAAATTTATGCATTATTTGGAATGATTTTGAGATGATTTGGATAGAATTTAGAATGAGTTGAATGCAAATATAAATAAATAAATATATATTATTATTAATTCTAAATACTGTAAAAATAATTTTTAACTGTAAATATTCCAACCCATTAATTTTATATTTACAGCGAAGTATTTCGATCTCACAAATGGTATATTTTATTACTTTTTAACACACATCTCAATGCAAATGAAAGCTTTTAATAGAAAAGTAGATAATAAAGATGATAAATGTTATAGTTGAATTATTTATTTTCTTCCAAGTAATCCAAATAAATATTTTAATCTCTATTAGTATATTTATACTCGTATTTGCTATCACTATAATTATTAACAGTATCACTTTCCATTTTCTAATATAACTAAAATATTGAATTTTAAAACTTTATATTTAACACAAAATAAGTTTGATAGCATTGTTCATAGGTACAAATAGACAATCGGAAATTAAACGGCTGAATAAAGAGGGAATACCAAGGAGTGTTGATTACATCCGAGGAAAATGGATTGTGGTCGTTTTCTTCCAGTTCAAAATGACTTATGATTGTTCTTTGTCATTACAGTACTAATTCTGGGTTTAATAAATAATGAAATATGGCTATTTTTCTCAGGTATGAGATATTTATACATAATCTCATAGAGAACACACAAGAATCCCATAAATTCAAAAATCAGCTAAAATTATACTATGGTCATTTTCCCCTATTTCCGTCAAGAATTTACAAAGTCCCTACGAATCAGTTAATTTCATATATCATAAATTGTATTTTAAAAATACCTCATTTCCAACCAAATCGTAAATATTTTACAAAATATAAAGTTTTATTATTGTTTAATTATTATGGTTGAAGATAAACATCAATATTTCTTATTGTAAAGAATCATTTTTGAATACTTGCAAAATTGTAAATGTAAAATACCGTATTTTGACAAGTATAAGTCGCTGTCAAGTATAAGACGCACCCCTATTTTGAGACAAAAAATTTAGAAAAACACTGTTTTAATGGGATTGTCTAAAGATACATTTTATTCGTTTTTTTATTCAAGAATATGACGGATGGATGAATCGATACTTTTATTAAACTGAAATAATCGTCATTTCTTAATGTAAACTCGGAGGCCACGTGATGACAGTCGACGGAACATGGCGGCGATGACTCGTGTGTCGCTACTCTGGTAATCTAGATACTCTAGCCATTCGGTCGAGGGACCATATGCTTAACTGACCACTGCACAGGTTGGTCCCTAGAGTGGCCCACTACTGTAGGTAATTTCACTGTAAAAATGGTTACCTGTCGAGTATAAGACGCACCATGATTTTGAGCCCCAAAAAGTAGTAAAAAAAGTGCGACTTATACTCGTCAAAATACGGTATATATTTTAATTTTAATTAATTTCAATTTCTCACTTTATAAAATCTCAGAATATCGTTTATAATTAAAAATTTTAATTAAACATTTAACTGTCACGAATAAACTAAGAAAAAACACTCATATCATATGGCTAAATGTAATGTTATTTTTTATACTGTGTACATATTGTCTAAAATTGTTTTTAATTTTCTTGCTTGCATCTCATGATCAATTTTTAATCTGAAATTTTTATTTTACTTTTATGGAATTTTTATAAAGCAAAACCATTTTTCAACTGACAAATTTACTATTTTGTTCAAACGACGTTCAGCATAAAAAAACATGTTTTGTCAGTTTTTTATGATGTATGGATTTCGCAAGTCTGGGAATTCCCCGAGTGGACATCCATTACGCAAACAAAAATTTTTCTCTTCAATTTCCAATCGACTAAATCCAGTAATAATGAAAATATAAATATTCTTATTCTGGAATCAGTTTATCAATAAGAAGATCACGTTATTTGCAATGTAAGTAATTTTTTAAATTCAATAATGTCAAAGCGTGAGATGCATTATATTTTTCATATATACTTGCATTTCATTAAAAAAAGTTAATAATATAAGATGAAGTTTAGATTATGTTATTAATAAAATTGATAATATTAATTTATTAAAACTGTTTTTTTATAGTAAAAGAAAGATTATCTTTTATTACTTTTTATATTGCACACAAAATTACATTTGTTTTATATTAAATATTACGCATCTAAATGATTGCATTATAAAACAACACATCAAAAAAGTTCTATATTAAATTAACGTGACCTTAAAAAGTAATAAATAACAAATGTGATAGATTTGCGAATTTTATTAAGCATTTCACATTAATAACAATTATAATATATATTATTTATATAAAAGCCTATACCTTATATATCGTGAATAATTTTCTAATATATTTTAAATTTATATAAATTGTAATATTTTTTTCTCTTCTAAATAATGAATAAATTTCATTATTTAGAAGAATTATCTATTAAGTTATTGAATAAGATAACATTAAATTGTTTAAATTGTCTCAAAATAAGTACATTTATTTTCGAAAGTAGTTTGATTTAGTTTTATTAAATAAGCAACTACAATTACATTGATTATAAGTCCTG